AGATTCTAGATTACTTAGAAAAACAGTCTTTTATATATAAAAAAAAAACTATATTACATACAAATGTATGAACAAATAAAAACCCAGTGAAGCGGGTCCTTGCAGCTAGTAATTATTATAAAATGGCAAAAAGCTTAATTTTTAGAACAGATATGAGTCTCATAAAAATTGTAAATACTATTGATGAATAAATTCTTTATTAATTCTGCATTGAGATATGATACACAATCCCCTCAATTTTCCCAACCCCTTGACCTTTAACCACCAAAATTTAATAGCATCAATGCCCCTAATATACAAATCCCCCTACAATATTTCAGAAATTTTCAAGTAGAGGAACAGGAGTTAAGCTTCAAAATGGGTGAATAAATTCTCTCCTCACATACAAACATGCATATTCATTCATACATACAGAAAAAAAATACCCAAAGTTTTTTGCATTTGTTGATGTTTCAAGTTCCTGAGTCCAAAAATGTAAAAATCTTGGGGGGGGTCATTTTTTCACCAATCATCGTACNATAGTAAGTGTTAATATAATCATCATAAATCCTAGAGAATGAAATATGAAAACATCTGTGGCTCTGTGTTGTCATCTTACTTAGCAGTGTTTAAGAGCTCAATATTGATGTTTTCCACTGTAGTTCCAATATCTATTGTTTGGCGTCATTGTCAGCATCACTCATGATTCCCACAAAATTGAAATCCAGTTTAGTTTACGCATATGCACGGTATACGTCTTCATTATCGCCTACTCTGTCATTTTCATTCATTTGTGACTTTATATTTTGCCTCAATGGCTCCTAAGAAAATTCCTAGTGCAAGTGCTAAGCATCATGCTATAACACTGGACAATAAACTGGCTATGATAAAACACTACAAAAAAAGTGAAAAGGTTATATCGATTGCTCGAACTTTTGGAATGAGTCAGATAACTGTATTGACAATTGTTCACAATAAGGATAATATTTTAGCACATATCAAATCTGATGCCCAGGGATGAAGAATACTATTATCAATAAGAAAAGAGGAAAAATCTTTGAAGAGATGGAACAATTTCTTTCTCTTTAGATTGATAGGTTGAATCATCAGCATGCTGCTATTAGTCAAGAAATCATTCAAGCGAAAGCATTGTCTTTGTTTGAGGACCTGAACAAAAATACCCAGATGAGAAAGATGTAGAGTTTAAAGTGAATCAAAGCTGGTTTATGAGATTTAAAGAATGAAGAAGTTATCACTCTATAAAGAAGGAAAGTGAAAGTGCATCAGCTGATTTTCCTAAAGCATTGGCTAAGATCATTGAAGAAAATGGATTTCTTCCTGAACAGATTTTTAACGTTGACGAAACTGGATTATATTGGAAAAAATTGCCAGACCGTTCTTTCATTTCCAAAGAAGAAAAAGTCAATTCCAGAATGTGTGACCGTTATGTTAGGAGGAAATTGTGCTGGAGATTTTAAATTAAAACCATTGCTGGGGTATCATGCACACAATCCCGTGTCCTGAAGAATATAATCAAGGCATCTCTTCCTGTTATATGGATGGCTAATCCAAAAGCATGGGTGACTGTTGTTATTTTTGAAGATTGGTTCTTTAATCATTTTATCCTGGCAGCAGAAAACTATTGCAAGAAGGGGATTCCTTTTAAGATATTATTAATAATTGATAATGCTCCTGGCCACTCGCAAAATATCGTAGATTTTTACTTCAATGTTACTGTTGTGTACCTCCCTCCGAATACCACATCTCTTATGCAACCAATGGATCAGGGCATCATTGCAATCTTCAAGTGTTACTATATGAAGCATATGTTGCAGCGAGCAGTAGCTGCAACTGATCTTGATGAGTCATGCACACTTTGTGACTTTTGGAAGGAGTATGACATATATAAAGCTGTACAGAACATAGTGGCAGCATGGAATGGTGTTCAGAACATGGCTATGAATGGTGTGTGAAAAAAACTATGCCTGCAATTCATGAATTATTTCAAGGGGTTTGATAATATTGAAGTCAACAAAACATTGGTGACCATGAACAAAGAGCTGGAAATGGATTTGGAGGAGGAGGATTTCATAGATTTATTTGAAAAAGACAAGCAGCAGCCCCTAACGAATGAGGATTTGATAGAGCTCAACGAGCAGCAAAAAAAAGAAGTCGTTGAACCTGAGCCATGTCACTTTTCTCTAAAGAATATGCAGGAAGCATTTGCTTTTATTGAAAAAGGACTTCAGATCTTCAAGGATATGGACCCAAATGGTCAATGCTTTTCAAAAGTTGTGCACACTTGTCACGAAGCTTTTGCTCCTTATCATGTAATCCTTGAAGAAAAGAAGAACACAGTTCAAGGAACTCTCGACCGGTTTCTTATTAAAAAGCATATCAAACAACAACAGCCAGAATCAGCTGTTGATGCTGATGATCTACAGCCATCTATGTCCACAATGTAAATAAACAAATTGAATGTAAATATTGGTAAATTTAACATAAATTAGTTCATTTTCTACTATTGCAAAATAATTTTAATAACTGTATTTGTTATTTAACCTTACAAAATTATCTTATTTTATAATGTCTTAGAGCAAACCACATTCACAAATAAAGAGTCTGTGATGTACTGTGAACATCGCCAAATTGTAAAGATGTATGTATGTACAAGTTTTCTTAAATTTGATTACTTTTTTTCCCTGCACTATATTAAAAACTTAAATTTATTTGTTTGTAAGCTTAAAATAGATTCTTATTAACCATATATTATTAAAAATGCATTTATAAATAAAATACAGAACTGGGAATGGTTATTTGTGGTTTAGCCTNAATTATAATAATTTATTTAGTATAGTTTTATGTATACTAACAAATAAAACTACATAGATATATGCAAAATTTATTGCATGCTTTTAGTTGGATTTGCATATGATTAAGTTGTGTTTCACATTGCATGTAGTTTGCATTTTATTTTACATTTAACATGAGAAGTTTCAATTACATAGTATGTAATATTATATGTGTATATTAACAATTCAAGAATATTAATAAGTGATAAATTTATAAATTGTAGCTGTTTATCTAATGTGACTTTTTAAAATTGCATTATAGGAATTTAATAAGAAAATATAGCAACTGTCTTTGCATTTTAAAAGTTAGTGAAATAAGTTGTTTTTGCATGAAATGTATGGCATTACAATTTAAAAATATTGTGTTTCATGAAAATTGGCTTTAGAATTTTTATTAATATAGCTGTGTAAACAAAAAGTGTGCACAATTTTGGCAGGCATGTTTGGTATTTTGTTTTTTAAATAAATTTGAAAACATGCTAGCATAGATTGTTGCTCAGACTGCATAGATTTAAATTTATGTTGTCATGGCAACAATATTGTAAATCCATTATTCAGACACTATGTAGTGTAATTAATCACTCACTTGGCATTTTTTCACCTCTTTATTTTTTATTCAGTTTCAACTGAATAATGACACGGTTTCAGATTATTAAATATTGTAAATGTAAACAAAATGGAGCAGCTTCATGAAGAGGAAAGAAGAATTGTAGTTGGCAAACTTACAATTAACATGAGGAAAGGGAAAGAAACTTTACAGTTAAACATTTTATGGATATGGGGTTGTCAATGAGGACAGTTTACAGCATTATAGAAAGGTTGGAAAGTGGTAAGACTATTGCTAGATGTCCAGAGAGTGGGTGAAAGAGAATTAAAATGACACATAGCAAAAGAAAGCTGTTGGAAAGAAAGGTGATTGGAGAAGTTGGACAGTCATGAAAACTTATGAGATTTTGAACATTCAAGTATGTTAAAAACATAAAAGTCAAGCAAAATGTTGTCCTTTGGAAGTGAAAGTCAGCTGCAAAATATACAAAAAAAAAAAATAAAAATAATAACAACAACAACTCAAATTGCAAAAGGTTCTTCTGTGAAAAATGCATGAGGGCAACTTCAAAGCTTCACATGGACTGGAAGTTGTTACAGATGATGATTCATATTTTATCTTTGTTCAAAATGACTGCATTGGGAACAACATATACTGTTGTAAGGATGGTGTTGGCATTGATCCACAAGTAAAGTTTAAACTCCATGCAAAATTTTCTTAGGAAGTGTTGGTTTGGGTAGCAATTCAGTCCAAAAAGGTCTCAAGTATTCATAGCACCTTCTCACCTCTGCATCAACAAACAGGTGTACATAAAGGAGTGTATTAAGAAGAGGCTGATCCCATACTTCAAGAAACACCATTCAGATGGAACTCGTAGTTCATATTATGAAAGAGAGAGTTTTTTTATAGTGGAATTTGGAGCAGCAAAGAGAACAGCATGCAAATGTTCCTTAGCTGTGCCCAATTGAACGAATGATTCTAATACCAACTAAACAAAAAGTTTATGAAAATTGATGGTCTGCTGAAAATGAAGCAAAACAAACGGTTCATCAAGTTTAAGTCTGCCAATTTAATTTAGAGCACTTTTGAACTCTGATGGCTTGTATCAAAACTAAAATTAGAAAAGTTGCCAACTGCAGACCAAATTCCATAATTTAGAGACAGAAGAAACTAATTTTGTCAGTTTCGTGTTTCTGGATAATCATATTGTAAAAATAAAGTTTGATTTTTGTGCAGATTTTTTGTTTACACATCCTTATAGCTTGTTATAGAAATAAATTTTATTTGTTTATAAGAGAAATTATTTTCTCCTCTTCAGTGAAATTTAGAAAAATTTGTGTCAAATGTCAAGATTTGCCTGTAATATTGTGTTGATGCATGCTCGAGTTGTTTTAATAATTGATTATAATTATAAATAATTTTCTTGTAGTTGTAATCTATAGGTGTCCAGAGCATAAATATATAAAATTTCACTTTAATTTGAGTGAATAAAGAATACTTGATGAATTAATTACTTGCAATCTAATATTTACTTTGTAATACCAATAAATGATTGAAATTAAAGCATCAAACACAAATGTATTATCTTTATTTAAAAGAAAAATGAATATTATTTATTACAGGTTCAGACACAAGCAGTGGCACTCACCACAAAACAAATGACTATTGTACAGTCAGGACCACAAAATATTAGGCATGTAGTGCCTTCCAGTCTTGGTAATTTAGTAAATGCGTCGACTAATATTGCTATTAAGACGCCGGTAGCCACGGCGGTCTTGCTGCCTCACTGTACCACCGCTACAAATGCTCTGCTAACTACGAGGTCCGGCAATAATCAGCGAGCGCAGCCTGTTCTGGTCGTGCCATCTCCAAACCGTTCGAGCGACAGTTCGCACACGGGCGTAATGTTAAATCTCGCACCGCCTATTCGTGTGCCTCAGTATCCTCCGCCTGGCAGCAGATCGGTTTTAACAGTGGTATGTTTAAATTAAACTTTTAATATCACTGATATTTAATTTGATAATTATTATTTTAATTATCAATGCTTTCAAAGACAAAGCAGAAAGATCTCATACAACAATTTTTATTGTAATTGTTTTGCTTTCAAGTTATATATAAGAAACTTAAACTCACTCTTACAGCATATTGTGTGTTCTATTAAAGAAACAAAAGTAAATTGAAATGCATGGATTTTGTGTTTGGTAATTTATAATTATGATTTTATAAAGAGAATCTGTAACATTATTTATTCTGTTAAAAGATGTTTAATTTTTTGTTGGAAAAGTTTTAAATTTTAGTGAAGTAAATTTTTAATAAATGTAATAAAATTAAATTGGCTTTAATATTTGATAGATTGAAAGAATCAAAATTAAAAATATATTTATCAGTAATTATTAATTAAATTAATATATTTTCTGATTGAAAAGAAGAAACAAACGGGATTTTCTTTATTGAATCTTGTATTGTATATCACTTTTATTTTGTTTAATTAGTAATAACTAATGAATATATTTTTCTCTTTCATACACTAACTTAATAACAATAGAAATAAAAAATTTATAAAAGACATTTTTTTACTTCTATTGAATTATTTTGGCATGTGCCTTAATCTATTGTATTTTAAACTTAATAGCATTATTTAATTGTCTGTAAAGAAATTATCAAATCAACAAAGCTGGAACTAAATAACATGAAATCAATACCTTTCACACTTCCAGTGAGGGGTTTATTTAAGATATAAACAAACAAACATTTTCAGTATATGAAATAGGTTTATGAAATAAAAACAAACATGTCTGTTCAATTAAATCTTAAATAAATCCGTTGCTATACTTTTTGCTTTGAATAATATGTTTCACATTGTAGTAACAAAATTTTATAGAAAATGGCAAATTGAAAATTCTGAACAAAAGATTTTAAGTTCATTTGAGGAAGTACAAAAATAGCATGGCTAATGTAGTCCATAAAATTATTGTACTAATTGAATGTGTGATTTCAGAAATATATAATTGGAAAAATGGTTATTTGTTTGAGAAAGAATTTTTCATTTAAAAAAATAAATAGAATTTGATTTAGTATTGAGTCATAAAAATTATAAAAAATTACAAGAAAATGAAATTAAAATGTTATTAAAACCTACATTTTTAAATATTTGTATAGTTTGCCCTCCTCATAATAAAATGTTATTTTGATTCATCTTTTTTCCTTCTTTTCTGCATGAAGCTCTTGATAGCATCATATTATGCATTGTAATGTTCTTCATACATTAATGCTGCTTTGTTTATTTGAATTGTTGTACAAAATTCCATCAGAAGCAATCTTCATTTCCATAAACACTTAATCAGAACATCTGTGAGATCTGATACCATTTTATCAGTTTTGAGAAGAAAATATAGCTACAGTAGAGCGTCGATTTTTCCGAATCAATTGGGGACTGGGGTTGTCCGGATAACTGATATTTCAGATAACTGATTTATGTACGAAAAAATAGTTTAACGTATCCAATGTCAAAATTTTTATCCGTTGCGTGTCGCTTTGCGTTCAATTTTCGTCGATGTTAAGCCTAACAAAGACTATTGTATCGTTAAAAATTATTTTTTTATTTTGTACAAACAAAATAAATATATTGAAAAATATAAAAATAATAAAATATTATACTTCAGATGTTAATTTAGTATCAAAAATGTAAAATATTTGAGTAGCCCAAGACATAGCCAAAAATTGAAGCACCACAGCACTGGCGAAAATTTAAATTTGCCGACTGGAATTCTTTCGGATGATTGACTTTCGGATAATCGACGTGCTACTGTATTTCTAATAATAGTCACAAGCACAGATTTACACAAGTTCATATCAGCCATCATATCAAATTATGGCTGATTTCCTTCGAAAGTCTAAAGAATGTGTATGCACATTATGTGGTGCAAAGGTTTGTGAAAAAAAAAAAAAATTCCATCCTGTGTGGTCAAAAGACTAGCAAAATAATTAAGTCTGACATATATACAATTAATTTAGCACAAAGAACAGCATTTATTCGGATGTATGCCATCAGCCATCACCGAGAACAAACATAGAACATGTTAGACAAAGTGAAAGCAAAGTATTGAATAACAAGCCTAATATCAACCTGAATATCTTATAAAAACAATACAATATCACAGACATCTTAAACATCTATCAAGTAACATAGCCAATAATTACAAGTCGGTTGCAAAATGTATAGTTTAATTTGAATGCCAAAATAACTAAGCATAGATAGCATGTTGAGTAACAAAGTTAACTTTATTAGCTAGTCTTTTAAAATCATTGTAAATGTCACAAGTAATCCAAATGTCTGATAACCTACAAGGCCATGTGATGCCATGTTCCTCAAGTAAAAGTCGAAGTTCTAATATCTCTTGTTCGATTTTTATGCAATCATAAATATAATGTTTAGTGCCGTCCTCTACCAGACATTTAGGACACAAATTAAAATTTCTATTTGCAAATCTCACAAGATAACTCGCATAGTTTCCATGATTTGTCAAGAGCTGTGTGGTATGTGGAAAATCGTAAGACTTAGAGGTCTCACTAATTGTAAGTGTAGGTGAATTACCACGTGGGAAAGGATGCCAAGAAACAGTTTTACTTTTTTTTTTTTTTTTTAATTTTGAATGCTAATAACGAGTAAAATATTCATTAAGAGATATGACACATGACCACTTTTA